TGCTTAGTTTACAGACTATAAAGTGCTTCATAATTTGACTTCTAGGGGAAAATGATGTAATTTAAATCGTATTTCAGTCTGTTCACTGGTCCACCTATTCAATTTTCTTCTTTTCTCTCATTTCTTTTCTTTTTCTTGAATACAGAAAGAGAAAATTTTATTTTTATTTTCAATTTCTATTAAAAATATTTCTTTAATTTTTTATACTATATTTTTTACTTTTTTGTAAATGTTTCAAATTCTATTTTACTTCCATCATTTCATTTTATTCTGTTTTATTGTATTCATTTTTTCAAATTTTCAAATGTTTTCCATTTTCCCCCTTTTTTTCTCTATTAAGCCCCTTTCAACACCCACACCAAAACACACCTAGGATCTAGCATCATTTATTTGACTTGTGTGTGTGTGTGTGTGTGTGTGTGTGTGTGTGTGTGTTGTTTTTAATTTTTTAATTAAAATTTTTTTTACCTCATTAATTCCTTTTCTTCTTTCAAAATGACAAAATGAAGGAATTCACCCCAAAAGAAAGAGCAGGAAGAAATGACAGCCAGGGACTTAACCAATACAGATACAAGCAAGATGTCTGAACCAGAATTTAGAATTGCGATAATAAGAATACTAGCTGGGGTCAAAATAGATTAGAATCCCTTTCTGTGGAGATAAAAGAAGTAAAAGCTAGTCAGGATGAATAAAAAATGCTGTAACTAAGCTGCAATCCCGAATGGATGCCACAGAGGCAAGGATGGATGAGGTAGAGAAGTGAATCAGCGATACAGAGGACAAACTTATGGAGAATAATGAAGCAGAAAAAAGGGGGGAAACTGAGGCAAAAGAGCACAATTTAAGAATTAGAGAAATCAGTGACTCATTAAAAGGAACAACATCAGAATCATAGGGATCCCAGAAGATGAAGAGAAAAACATTATTATTATGAGGCACCTAGATGTCTCAGTTGGTTAAGCATCCGACTCTTGATTTCAGCTCAGGTCATGGTCTCACAGTTATGAGTTCTAGCCCTGCATCAGGCTCTGTGTTGATAGTGTAGAGCCTACTTGAATTCTCTCTCCCTCTCTCTCTGCCCCTAACCCACTTGTGCTCTCTCGCTCTCTCTCTCAAAATAAATAAACTTAAAAATTAAAAAAAAGTCTTATTTTTATGTCACAGGTGATTACATATATTTAATGTATATATCCATAATATCTCTATCTATGTATACAGAGAGGGAGAGTGAAACAAGAAAGCACAGATTAGTAAAAATCACTTGTAAATTTACCCTGAAAGAGAACCTCTTTTTTAACATTTTGATATATTTTCTATTATTCTATACATTGTTTTGTAGCCTACTCTTTTCTCTTAACTGTTCTTTTTGTTGTGCCAACTAAACTGAGTAATGACACTGACAGAAAAAATATCCCACGAGTAAGAATTTGTCCCAATGAAATAATCAGAGATGTACATGAACATATTTTATGGAATAATTTATACTACTGAAAAATTAGAGGCAATTAAAAAATATATCAATACATTGATTAAGTAAGTTATGTGAATAGCATACTTAGGTAAATGTATACAGTGGCAAGGAAAATAACCCATAATATATCACAAAAGGAAATATTTCCCTTTACTGGCTTTATTTTATAATGAGAATATACCTGTATAGTATATTGTCACTAAAACAAAGTTAAGAGGGATGCCTGGCTGTCTCAGTAGGTACAGCATGTGACTCTTGATCTTGAGGCTATGAGTTTGAGCCCCATGTTGGATGCAGAGAGTACTTAAAAATAAAAACATAAAAAATGAATGTAAAGTCTATAAAAAATAAAACAAAGTTAAGAAATTAAAGAACAGTGTGTATTTCATAATCCCATTTCATATATAATCTTATTATGTAATATTATATATGCCAGTTTAGTTATTATTTGGCATATGTAATTTTTGTATTTTAAATATATTGCAATATATTTATGCATATGTAACCATGCTTATTTAGCGCGGGGGGGGTCACAGATTAAGGAGAGACTTCCATTTCTTTTCAACATGTGAATTCTTTACAATGAGCATGTATTGTTAGAATAACAGTTGAGGTTTTTCTTAGGGGGTTAGAGGGTTTTTTTTTTTTTAAGTGGCTCTCTAAAAATACTGAACCTGTTTCCACTCACTTGGGCAAGTGGCCCTTGTACTCAACGTGTGGTTCTTAGACCAGCAAGAGAGGCATCACCTGGAAAGTTAGAAATGCAGAGTCTCAAGTCCCACCCCACACCTACTGAATTAGAGATCCACAGTGATGGTATGCACTTTCAAGTCTGAGAAGTTCCGCTGCAGAACAGACTGCTTTCTTTCTCTGGGCCTGTTTCTTCCCTACTCTAAGGGGCTGTAATCGAGGTGTCTCTATAATCCCTTCTGGTTGCAATTTTTCTAAGCTCATTTCTTACAGTTTTCTGCGTGAGTCACTATAAAAAGGCAACTGAAGAGACCAAAGGATGAGAGGCCTGGTTGCAAAGCCTCAGGCAGGTGGGCACAGGCAGACGCAGGTGGGCACTGAAGCAGCTTCCTGATCCAGGTCAGGAGGAAGCCTTGGGTAAAATGCTGCCTGGGATTTCTTAAAATGCTGCCTGGGATTTCTCCCGGCGCAGGGGCGGAAGGTCGCCCAAATGGACCAGAGTGGAAGGTGTCGGGCAGTAACAAGGCGGCAGGAGGCGCTGTGAGGTGCTGGTAGAAGGTGCCGCACAGATCCAGGGGGAATGCAGGGTGCTAGTTGGCCTCCGGGAGGCGGCAGGCACTGTACCTCGCCACCGCAAGGCACCGTGCAGGACGCACCTGGGCGCAGAGCTGCCTCAGGGTGACAGGGGGCGCTGCGGAGTCGTGGCCGGCACATCCTGGGCCACCTGGGGAATACACCTGGGCAGGTGGGGGCGGCCCCGAGGGGGCGGGGTTCCAGGGGCGGGGCCCAGGTCTGGCGCACAAGAGCCGGAGGCCGCGGCAGCGGCGGGATGCTCGCGCTGTTACCGGCAGCACAACAGAGCGCGCACGGATCGCGCACCCCCGAGCCCCAGACTCTTCGGAACTGAGAGAGGTGAGCCGAGCCGGGTCGGGTCGCACTAGCTTGGGGGTTTCAGGCACCGGAGCGGCCGCGGGGCCCGATGGCTTCTCGGACGCCGTCCGCGCGGTCGGTGGTGGAGCTGGCTGGCATCAGCCCGGGGCTGCCTCCCGGTGGCTGGGATGCTGGGACACCTTCTCAGGCCAATCCGGGTCCAGCCAGCTCTCTGGCGTCTGCCCACGCCGTCGCCCGGGAAGCAGAGCTAGGGTGACAGGCGTTTCTGGGCTATTCAGGGTCCGGGGCTCTGGGGGTCCCGGGCCGCGCCTCGCCTTGTCTCTCCGCCCAGCACCTGTTCAGGCCTTGGCGAGACTTGACCGCGATTGTTCCTTTTGCTCTCTGGAATGTTTTCTCTGGGGTGACCGTGGTTGCAGAAAGAAGCAAACACTTGAATCGGGTTGGTTGGATTCTCTCCGGCGGCGTCAGCAGACGTGACTTCTGCCACAGCACAGCGTGCGGTCGCTCTGTGCGGGGTGGGCAGGGGCTGCAGAGACGCCAGGGGGGGAGCTCGAGTCCCACTCCCAGAGCCTGAGGCTTGGGGTCCCTTCCTGGGGTATAGGAGATAGGCAAGCTCCGGGGTGGTGGGGCGCAGTGAGAATCGCTGTCATGAGCGGCCCTGGAATTTGAAAAACTCCTTTGAATTCTTGCCATCTGGGTGGCCTTGGGCAAGTTACGTAATCACTCTGCACCTCAGTTTCCCCCTCTGTGAAATGGGGACGGTACTAATACCTCATCTAATTACAGGGAGCATTAAATAAGGTAATATGTAAAAAGAGCTGAGTAGGATGGCAGGGAGTCCTAAGGGATCAATAAATGATAGCTGCGATGATTGCTGTGGCTGCTATCGTTGTCATTATTATTACTGTTGGGGAGCAGCACAGCTAGTAGTTAAAGGCATGGACTCCTGAGTCCAAATCCCAGCTTGGCCACTTTCTAGTGTGACCTTGGACAAACTACTTAACCTCTTGGTGTCTCCATTTCATTTGCATAATGGGGGGAAGTGAAGGTGCCTACCTCAGAAGCTTGTTGTGGCAATGAAATGAGTGAATACCTGTAAAATACTTCAAAGAGTGAGTGCTCGGTGTCAGCCATTGATTCTTCCACAAAGGCATAGTGTTTGATCAATCAGCCGGACCTTGCTCTGCTCTGAAGTTGTAACACTGTTTCAGTGCACATTTATCTGTTTTGTGTTGAGCAGATGGGTTCCCTTCTCTCACCTGTGGTTTCACTGACATTGGGGGCTGATCCATTGGAGTCAAGGTCAGTCCTGGAGAAGAAGCTGGTGGGGCAGAGGGACCCCAGGGGTTGTCTTCAGCGAGAAGAAAGAGAATTAGAGATAGGAGTATCCAGCATCTGCGATTCTGAACATTCGCAGAGGAGAAAACCTTCCCTGCGTGGCCATTTTGTTTGACAGGAAATTGAACCTGGATCCAGATTTTTAAAACAAACTCTTGCTAAGTTTTTTGCTTTTGAATGTGTGAGAGAGGAGTTGAGGATGGGAAATGCTTTAAATGACAAAACAAAATAAATTACATTCCTCTTGCTAAGAGACCAACAGCATAATTTTGAGGGTTGAGAAGGTTTTCTCCATCCCAGTAAGGTCATATGTGTCTGTGGGGGGGGGGGGGGTG